TATGGGCTACTGACTTTGTGGATACTAAACCATTTGCCATCCCATTTAAAAACAATTCTTCACTGTTGTGTGATTATCTTGATGTATTTGAAACATACTGGTCACTCTACAAATAATTTAAGTATAAACTTGAAATGAAATTATTTATGATGACTGTGTTTCTCACAGTACAACCAGAAGCCACTGGAGGTGGCTTTTTAACTTGCTGAATGTCACTTCTGAATTACAGATGGCTCCAGACTATGACCACCTGACTCTGATGCAGAAAGTAGAAGTATTTGAACATGCTGTCAACAACACAGCTGGGGATGACCTTGCCAAACTGCTGTGGTTGAAGAGTCCAAGCTCAGAGGTGAGTGCACCACAAGAACTGGCAAACAGCAGAGTGTGTAATTATCTTCTCTGCAGAATGAGTGAGAGATGGGAGTTTATTTATCCTAAACCCCAGCTGTATCACTGCAGAACATGTATTTTTAATTTTTTTTTTATTTTTTGTATTTTTTAATTATACTTTATTTATTTTTATTTTGTATTTATTTTGGTTTTTCATATTTTGTTTATTTCTATTTTTTCTCCACTTGTAGGTATGGTTTGACAGAAGAACAAATTACACCCGTTCACTGGCTGTGATGTCAATGGTTGGGTACATTTTGGGCCTTGGGGACAGGTAAGTAAAGCTGTAAAGGTTTCTTTTATTTAAAAGCACAGATTGTGAAGGCATCAGTTCATTCCTGAATCTGTTCTTGTGATAACATCTTCCATTGTGGTTTCTGCTGAGTTATAGTGATACCATCTTTCAGGTCTTAATTATTATTTTAGTGTTATTTTCAGCACTGCAGGTATGAGATGCAGTTTGTGTATCTTGAGTACAAGTAAGACCTTCTTCCTTTTTGAAATGAATACACATTAAGGATCACAAGTTGTAATTTTGCCCTTTCACAGAATGGGAAATCTTTCTCCATCCATTTTATTAACACTATAACTTCCAAAATACTTTTAAAAACAATGTATATTTGATTTAAAGTCTCTAAGATGAAGTCATAAACCTTTGAAAATTGAATTAAGACAAAATTGGAAGATGTAAGCATGAATTCAGCACTGTAGTTTTGCTAGTCTGGATTGATTTTCTTCTCTGTTGGTGGTAAAAGAATTTGTGTTACTTCAAGTGCAGCATAATGCATTATATTTATCTACACTTAAAAAAAGAAAAAGCATAAAACAAGTGGAAAAAATTATTCTAACTGAAAAATAAACATTCATATCCAAGAAATGCACTGATCATTCTTGTTCAGGAGGTTATTTATCTTCCAAGGTGAGAAAATCTCTTACTTGTGAGAGATAATTACAAAACACACTGTCAGGAAAGTTTCCTGTTCATGCTGAGATTGAAGATCTCAGACAAGCAAGCTACCACTGGCTGTTCTTGTTCATGAAGATAAATATATTGAAGCTGCTGTGGTTTACTTTGGGTTTTTGTAATGGTCTGTCACTGATGGTCTGGTTTTTCTCCCACTCCTTCACCACAGACACCCTTCCAATCTGATGTTAGACAGACTGAGTGGGAAGATCCTGCATATCGACTTTGGGGACTGTTTTGAGGTAAGCCTGTGTATTTGGACATGACATTTTCAGTAATATTTCACATTTTCTGGTGGAACAGAAATCATTCTATAAACCAGGACAAACTGACCTTGGAGTCTGATCCTGGGCAAATCCTTTGGCTCTCTTTTGAGCCTCCTATAAAATAAAAGACACTGTATCTCATAAGCATGTCATGGGGATTAGCTGACCACTGGTACAAGCAAAGAAGTGTTAATGGAAATTTCATGGAAGTGTTTCACTTCCATGACATTTCTTGGAGCAATTTAAGCTGCTGATAGGCAGTCTGTGTTGCTGGGCACCTGAGTTTTCCCTTTGTTATCAAATTTATCATCCGGCTTCTCCGAGTAATTTGTGAAAACTGAGGAACATAAAACTGTGACTTCATTTCCTATTTGGAATAAAACCTTCAAGATTGTAGCAAAAATATCCCAGTACTTAATACTAGGATCTTAATGCTGGGTTAGGTTAAAAGTTAATTTTTAATAACTTTTTAAAAGTAAGTTAACTACTAATTTACTTGCTCTCCCTCATCATGTGTTTAGGTTGCAATGACAAGAGAAAAGTTCCCTGAGAAGATTCCATTTAGATTAACAAGGATGCTGACAAATGCTATGGAGGTAAGAATTCCCTCTGATTTGGAGGGGACTGTTCTTAGGGAAAATGGCAACCATTTCTCAGTTTCTCCTGTATTTTTTTTTTTGTTGTGGCTAAACTTTTTCACCCCTTAAGAATCTGAGGTGTTAATATTTCAGCTTGGTTTTCTGTGAGTTGAAACATCACTTGTGATACCTGCAGTACATTACAGTGCAAAGCAACTTTTTAGTTAGAAATTAAACTACCTGAAATTCCTCCAATTTCTTAGGCCTTCCTTAGTTTCCCCATTTCAAACAGCTGTTTCTATCAAGCAGACACAGTCAGTTGCATGGTACTTTATAAAGATCATCCTCATGGAGATGAGAGCTTCTTAGTTTGTAATTAATGTATGTCTTGTTCTATTAATGAACAAAGCATGGACAACTCCAGTTCAAAGCTACTTCCTGCTCCCTGAGGGTTGGGGTTGTACTTGCAGAGTGAACAAAGAGGTTGATTGATTTCTTTTCCTTGCAAAGGTGACAGGCCTCGATGGGAACTATAGGATCACGTGTCACACAGTGATGGAGGTGCTGCGTGAGCACAAGGACAGCGTCATGGCTGTGCTGGAGGCCTTTGTCTATGATCCCTTGTTGAACTGGAGATTGATGGACAGTAAGTGATTCTGATAAAATACTGACAGCAAGAGAATATGCATACAAGAAATCCAGAAGCCTGAAATCCTGTGTGTTTTCAAGCAGTCTGATCTAACTCTTAGTTTGCATGTGCTATTGCTGTGTGCACACAGTTTTAGGGATTTTAATATGTAATGACAGCAGTGATCAGGAGATGGGAATTATTTTCAGGTGACATCAAATCTGGAGAAGGAAAAAGGCAACCATATCTGTATTTTTTGTGGACAAATTTGCTCTGAAACACTGGAAGTCCAGTTCATCCTTTCCAACTCCTTGTTTTCTTGCAGCAAACACAAAGGGCAATAAGCGCTCCCGAACAAGAACAGACTCCTACTCAACCAGTCAGTCAGTAGGTGAGTAGAAAAGATGGAAGATGTCACAAATATGCTTTTCAAATGAGCTGATTAGCAGTCTTGCTAATGTTTCCAGAAGAATTTTTCAGCTTCACATTTATGATTTGTTGTTTTCATGTTATTTTCAATAGAAATGTTGGACAGTGTGGAATTGGGCGAGACATCCCACAAAAAAACTGGAACCACAGTGCCTGAATCCATCCATTCCTTCAGTGAGTTTCATTGTTGTTTCTATACTGATCCAAAAGCTGTTCTTAGATCAGAAAATTCCATCATTATCCAAATGATTTGAGATGGGACAGTCTCTTGTCAGCATAAAAATGATCTGTGTTCTCAGCTCCCACAAAGAGTTGTATCTGTAGAAAATGCATCTAGGTTTGCTCTCAAAATAGTGTTTGGAAAGGACACATCTAACAGCAGTACAAATGCTTTTATTGCTCAGATCAAGTGCTTATTCTGTGTCCTGTTTCTCTCCTTTAGTAGGAGATGGTCTGGTGAAGCCAGAAGCTCTAAATAAGAAGGCAATTCAGATCATCAACAGGGTTCGAGATAAGCTCACTGGTGAGTGTTTGGTTTTGTTTATATAAAAGAAACTTAAAATCTGATAGATATTAAACCTTTAATTTAGCATATTCTGATTAAGTGGATGAGGCCATTTTCCTGGTTTTGTCCAAAACCCAAGTACTGTGCCTGCATTTAGATGCAAATAAGTTTGAACTGAAAAGTACAGAGGTGTTTGTAACTACAAAGACTTAATATTTTGCATGTATTAGCTGGTTAGTGAAAGTTGATTTTCTACTGTCCTGGCTTCATAGTTTGCAGCATTTGGTTGCAAAATTTTACACTTTTAAAGTTTATAAGAAAATTCTCCCCACCTGGCAGAAAATGTACTTGAAGGAATTAGAACCAAGATTTGTGACTCCTTTTGTGGTTTTTTTCATCCTTTAATTTCAAAGGTCGGGACTTCTCTCATGACGAAACCCTCGATGTACCCACACAAGTAGAACTGCTCATCAAACAAGCAACTTCTCATGAGAACCTGTGCCAGTGCTACATTGGATGGTGAGTTTGTCACTCAGCTAACCTGGCAAAACTCCTCTGGAACAGTCTGAGCAGGGACCTGCTAAAGAGAACCTCACTGGAGCAGTTTATTTGTAGGAGCCACAGCACATCCTGCATCTGATCTGGTAGATTCTGCAAGCCCATGGCAATAGATATTGACAGTCTCTAGGAAATTTGCTGTTTTAAGCAGTGACAAGGATTTTACATTTTAAATGTTTGAAATAAGGAATGTGGTGGTCAGTGCTTTCAGCTACACTAAAGGATAAAACAGAGATGATTTAGTGTCATTTTGAGAGTTAGATAACTTAGAACTCTGCTTAAGGAAATAAATCTTTCTTGCTAATGTTTAAAAGTAATAAAGATCACCTGGCAACTTTGCCTGTGCTCAAATGGTGCCTAGTCTGTATAGAATCTCAGTCCTTCTCAGTGTTGTCTTTGTGAAACTACATGCAACTCAACTTCATTACAATATCTTTATTTTCTTTAGGTGTCCTTTCTGGTAACAGGAGATTCCAGAGTATGCACAGCCTTTTATTCTGGAGGCTTTTTCACTCCAAACTTGCTCTTCTACAAACACGAATGGAACGTTGGACTGAAATACAGCCTTTGTCAAATATTTTTAAATGTAAATGAAAAGAGTTATTGTATATTAAAAGTTGGTGTAAGCCAATGTATAGCTGCTGTTGGAAAAACAAGCTGTCTGAAACAAAACACTTGATTTGGGTTTCCAGGACAGTGAAGACTGATTGTACCACAGATGTCTATGGTTCCACTTTGTCTTTGGGGAACTGGAGATCCATTGAAAATAACTATACGGGTTTTCACTCACTTTGCAATGTAACTAAGTAACTTGCAGATTAATTATTGCCCTGGTCATTCCTGTTGATGTGGGTGCAGTGAGCTTGTGCAGGAGGCTTCATTTAGGTTTGGGGGGAGCTGCATAACTGGAAAGAGAGATAAGTAGAATTTTACCATTGTTTCCTCCTGTACCTTGTTTTCAAACTTGATTCTTGGCCCAAAATTGAAAATCGTCTCTCTGCTCATTACACTAGTTCAGGATTTGTGTTTCTGACTAGATCAGGGTTTTGAGCACATCCAAGATTTGAAAACCTTGAGCCTGAGCAAAGTTGGGGTGCCTCTGTGCAGAGTGGTCGGTGGCACATTGGTTGCAGGGTACAAATAAACCACTTAGGAGCCTCCTGCAGTGTCTGGGTTAAAAAGCAGTGTTGGGAAGTAACTAGGGAAAGTTTGGGTTTGGCACAGGAGGCAGATGGGGGAGAACTGGTTGTAACTTGAAACAGAAAATAATGGCTATTAAACATGAGGTTGAAGGTGAAGTTATGATTTATGAATTAAAAATATTAAAAACAATGCACAAAATACAACAGAGTAGCCATGTTTAGATGCCATGTTGTATTTGCATATTTTTGTGCCAATAAATTACATCAAAATGTTAACACTTTGGCTTTGTTTTTGTTTATTCCTAAGTCTTTCTTAGGCAGGGACAGGGAAGCAGATTACAATTTTTTTTTAAGGTTCCTGTTGCCATTGATTTGTCTTTTTGTGCATCAGTTTGTGTCATTTGCTTTATTTCCCTTCTGACAGCAGCTGAATGAAGTCTGTCAGTTGTATAAACAAACTGTGACTGTGCAACCCCTAAATTTTTGCTTTCCAGAAGATGTGATGCCATCTGTGTGATAAGAACATCAGTTTCCTTGGGCTCAGGTTCACAGCATGGAGTGTTGGATGGGATTCCCTGGGCTTCCCCAGCTGCTTGTGCAAATGCTGCACTGCAAAAATGGGAAATGGGAGGTGGCAGTCACAAATTTGGGTATTGGCCCTTGCCCCTTTCTGGGCATTGGTGTGGCTATCATGGACACAATATAAGAAAGATTTTTAGGCCCCTAGAGTGTACAAAGAAGGGACACAAAGATGGGAAGAAGAGCCACTGAGGGTCCTTGGTCTGTTCAGCCTGGAGGAGACTGAGGGGAAACTGATGGCAGTCTGCATCTTCCTCCTGAGGGGAAGAGGATGAGCACACATTGATCTTTGCTCTGTGGTGACAGGGACAGGACCAGGGAACGGCTGGAGCTGTGTCAGGGGAGTTTTAGGCTGGATATCAGGAAAAGGAGGGTGGTGGGACACTGAACAGGCTCCCCAGGGAATGGGCACTGCCCAAGGCTGCCAGAACTCCAGGAGCATTTGGACAACGTTCTCAGGTGCAAGGTGGGATTATTGGGGTGTCCGAGAGCTGATGATCCCTCTGCGTCCCTTCCCTTCTGGTGCTGGGTCCCCCCGGTGGGTGTTTGTGGGGAGAAAGGCCGAATGTGCCACACCGCAGCCAGGCCGGGCCATCAGGGCTCCCCTCAGCGCCTTCCTCCCATCCCACATGGGGTTGTTTGTTAGGCCGAATCTGCTGCACAGCAGCCGGTCCGGGCCACCCTCAGGGCTCCTCTCAGGGCCTTCCTCCCATCCCACACGGGGGTGTTTTGGGGAAAAAGGCCGAATCTGCTGCACAGCAGCCC